CCGACACTTCAACCGTGATGCGTCCACCGGGTGAGGTATAGCTACCCAAATGAAAGGACTTATTCACCTGCTGTATTACTTCCTCAGTTAGAGTGAGACTGGGTGCTGGACCAATCCAGTCTTGTTATAACATTTTCCACTTTGAAGGTGAAAAACGCATACCGAACCTAGCTACATTGGAACTCAAACCATCCAGAAAGACATGTAGCTTACTTGGATTTTCAATTAATAGCACAATGTCGTCCGCATATTCAAGATCAGAAAGCCTGCCATTTGAGAGTAAATTGATGTCACTATTCTCGCATAAGGATGGAGCTGTTTCCATAATAAGATCTATAATGCCAGCGAGAAGTTTAGAGATGACTTTGATTAAACTAATTCCTCTGTGGTTTTCACAAGAGGATCTGTGACGTTTCTTATAAATCGGTATAATCACCATTCCGTTGGAACCTCTTCCCTCTCCCACACTGAGCCCAGGAGTTTCGTTAACTCCGAAACCAAGACTGAGCCTATATCCTTGAAAGCCGATGGGGAAAAGCCCGTCGGGGCAGGAGGCCTCATGCCTTTTGAGATAGCCTTATTTTCAGGAGACCTTCATTTCAGATGGAAGACTAGCATCAACTGGGAGTATTTGCTCAATCGAGGTGGAGGATGATAGTTCAGATGTCGAAGGGGGGGCAGTTAAACTGAGAGCCGAAATGTTCAGTTCAACAGTCAAGATGGCGTTGCTGATGGTGAATCAGTGTGCCATCGGTTCCTTAATTACCTTACACCTATTTTCTCAGGGCCCGTATTCCTAATTAGACGGAAAAGATTGCGACTATTAGCAATAGCCGCAGCTTTCTCCATTTCTTTACACCCTCCTCTCCTCCAATTCTCACGGTTATTCCTCAAATTCTTGATGAGCTGGCGTTTGAGGGATTTGCGCGCTGTCATATGTGGTATCCGGAAAGACGGTTCTGCGGGCATCCGAAGTCACTTATGTTTGGGGCTTGGGGCAGGATCCGACGTTCTTTTTATCGATATTTGCATAGCTTCCTTGATTCGCTTCCACTGTTCATTGAGTCCTTCGGCTGGTGATTGAACTGATACCCAATCGGAGAGCTCCGTTTCGAAGGCAGATTTGCAGCAATCGCTGACGCTGTATCGTGGGTATCCGCTGTCGGTGGCTTTTTTGCTGTTGTTTGCCAGGCGTAAGGAGAATTTGGCGCGTAGCAAAGCGTGGTCCGTATCCACCAGTGTTGACCACTAGGAACTGCAGTCTTGAATCTACCCCCTCCAGCGGTAACTGCTGGAGCTGTAGTCGACCTGGATCCAGTGCAGTAATCAGGCTGAGCAATACTGTTCGACCAAGACAAAAAAAGCCGTTTTGTAGTCTAAGAACACCATTCTGATGGTCTTACTGTTCTTGGGGAGTGCCGAAATTATTGAATGAACAAGGTGTGCAACGGCAAGTGTTGAGCGCGAGGA